CCTTGTAGTGGGTCTATTTATTTAGTTTATTGTGAGCCAGGGTAGTTGTTAAATTGAGAACTACGGTCTACATTGTTAATAAATTTACTGTTTTACAACCAGCTCTCGTCGCTGCGTTGCGATTACGATGACGCACCACATTCAACAAAAGAATATGAAGTTTATTCCAGTGTTTTTATGAACTAGAATATTGTAGCAGCCAAACTAGAATATTGTAGCAAGCACTTCACTAATATGGGTAATTGGCAGTCTGATGTTTAACTAGATGCAGTCTTATTTTGCGTTATTTTTGGTATAAATGTTTTTTTAATGAAAAAATAGCTATTTGAGGTGAGAATTTTTATTTTCCATCTACATTATATTTTTGTGCCTTAAAAGTGCAATACACACAATGGATTGCTACATATATTTGAAATTGATGTTTGTATGATATTGTAATGAACTCCAATAGTATAATCAATGTATAGGAACACTTTCACCTTCAAAATTCGTTTTCGACATCGTATTTTAAAATTTATTTAATTTTTTTTTTACTTTACAACTAAGAAATCTCAATACCCACATAACTAAAGCGTCCTACATGAAGGCAACAGATCTCAGAAATATTCATCATCAAAACCAATTAACCACATTCATGATACGAATATACATTGCAATAAAGAAACCGGTGCAGTTTTCCATTTCAAATAAACGGCTCTGTACTCCATTGAAAATGAACGGTGTGCCGTTGACTGATGAGGCAACAAGGCCTTTCAATTCAAACTTTAAATGGAACGTCCATTTAAATGAATTGAACACTAAATTAAGTTCTTTATGCTACGCTTTCAGAATTCTTTCAAATTCAGTCATCCTCCATACTGCTCGTTGTGTGTAGTTCGCCAATGTTCATTCCCGCCTGAGATATGGCATAATATTCTGGATAAATACATCTTATAGCTCCCAGACTTTTAGATTACAAAAAAGAATTGTACGAATAATAAGCAAATCCCACCAAGGCCTCTCTTTATTAATCTACCACTACCTTGTCTCTTCATACATGAATCAAGTGTTTTTGTTTACAAATGACTTACTTAAAAGCGAGAATATTTTTCAGCAAACACTGATATCTATAACAACACTCGACGTAGTAATCAGATTCATCAGGAGACAGTATCAACTGCTCACTACAAAAAATTCACATACAATACATATACAAATGCCATTAAACCATTTAATTCGATACAAACGTTTAAGTCCCAAGTAAAATATTTTCTGCTGCACAAGTTTTTCTATACAATTAGATAATATACCGAGCATCCAAAAGGAAAAAAATATTAATGTTAACAAAGACATTTAGTATATTTCGAGGGTTGCCTTTTATATTTCAGGATTAGAGAACAAAAACATATTAATCATCGAAAATCACTTTATTGTTTTTCAAAATATTCCCCATGAAGATCTATACACCATTGCATGCGTTTGAACTAATTGTCGAAGCACTTTTGCCACACTGATTTAGGTATCTCCAAAACATGCATTCTGAATGCAGCAACAGCTTCTTCAGGTGTCGAAAAACGTTGACCTCTCAGTTTGTTTTTACGTACGGGAATAAAAGGAAGTCATTCAGTGCCAAGTCAGGACTATACGGCGGATGACTCATCAAATCGATGTTTTGGGTGCTCAAAAATGCAGTTGTTTGAGCCAATGTGTGAGAGCTCGCATTGTATTGGTGAAGAGTGACCCGTCTTCGGCGGTTGGTTTTCCTGACTTCTTGGAAGACAGCTGGCAAACAAATCGTTGTGTACCACTCAGAATCGAGTGTTCTGCGTTGTTCTAGTGGCGGCTGCGACATGTCCGGTTTTTCCGAAAAGGCAGGAATCTGTTTGGAAGTGCTTCGTGCACGAAGAACTTTTGTTGGATTTTTCTCACCTTGAAACACCCATACAGTCGACTGCCGTTTACTTTCGGGCTTATAAGCGTAAATCCACGATTCATCACCAGTCACGAAGTCACAGACGTATTTCGAAGCACCGCGATCGTATTTTTTGAGCATTTCTTTCGACCAATCGACACGAGCCTTTTTTGAGCGATTGACAAATTGTGTGGGATCCAACGCGAACAATTTTTTTGACAGTCAAATGTTCATGCAATATTGAATGTATGCCGGTCCCACTAATGCCTAAGGTTGTCTCAATCTCACGATAGGTCACATGATCTTGCAATATCAGTTCACGCAAAGCATCAATGGTTTTCGGAACAACTGATTTTGGACGACCTTCGCGAAATTCGTCTTCGAGTGAAATACGGCCACGATTGAATTCCTCTACACCTCCTTCCTTTACACCTCCGCGACAATGAAAACATTAAATTGTGTGTGTTTCGAAATTAGGTTGAACCATACACTACGAATAGCTTGTTGAGCTCCGCGTTTCCGGGTTTCTTTCGGGAAACTGCATTTCTAATTAATTTCGTGCAATGTTCAATAGGATTTAAGTCCGGGATGTTTCCTGTCGAGGTTTTTCTCTGATGTTTTCTTAGAAACATTAGTCCCTTGATACTTTCCTTTATAAGTGCGTATTAAAGAAGTAATATACGTAGTTCATGCAAAGTTATGTAATGCTGCGGAAAATCGATTTCGAGATTTCAACGGAAATATGTTTTGGTGGTCCCTGATACCGAAAAAGTGGTTCTTTTCAAAACGTCCATCTGTGAACACTACTAGCTCCTAAACCATGCGAAGGATATTTTCCAAATGGGAGCAACCAGTGCCGTTCTGGCTCGTGTGAATAATTGAGATTTTGAAAAACATTCTTTAATATTTGGGGGTACTTTACATGGAGCCCACAGGACATGTTTAATACTTTCTCAAAAACGGTTCCAATTTTTTTTTAATTTCTAGTACGAATAGAGTAAAATACACGTATATAGGTGGCATTGGTACCATTTTCAGTGACTGATTTTTTCGGGCGTTTTCTTACAACTAAAAATTGAAAAAAAAAAGATTTTTCCGTCAAATACAATTTGTTCTTCATAGTGAGTTCCTTTGTAAACTACATGTATTTTTTTGTTTTGAAAATGTTAGTATTTTTCGCGCAATATTACGAGTAATATGTGCAAATTTAAAAAATTTCAAAAACAAGATTTTCTCAATAACTACTCAAAATTTTTACTTTAATGCTTTGGTAGGGATTGATCTAATGTACTTTATAAGACGACAGAGACGCCTATTTGCTCTATTCTTTTGATTTTTTCAAAAACCAACCGACCCTAAGAAATTCAAGTGATATCCTCTAATTACTAAGGATTCTATACGATGCGCACGTAGGAACTTTTATGAGATTAAAAACTCATAAATAAAAAAAAACGTAAGTTCTACTGTATACCAAATATAAGATCTACCAAACAAGTTCTGCCAAACATAAGTTCTACTGATTACACTGTATAATACGAAATCTTGTGCAAAAAGCGGAAAAATATGGGCCCCTTGAGGTTCCGTATTGACCAAGTTTTGCTGTTCATAAATGGATGTTGGAGTGTACCAGAGCGATGAACTCCGACACCATATGACCGATCTCCATGAAAGGTGGCCGATCTACCTGTTTGTTTTTTTTCCTTCCAGAAGGTTCTTATGTTGTTCATTTTGTTGCAACTCCACTAGTCAGCGTTGCATCACAATATGGAACGTTAGTTACATGCAACTGCCAATCAACCTTGGAACTCAGCTTCAATGTTGTTGGACGTCGCATTATGCGGAGAGAGGAAGGGGAGGCCAAAAGGAGCAAGCAGCGCGGAGGGAAAGAGGGGGAAAAGAGAGGAGGGGAAAAAGAGGAGGACAAGAGGAGGGAAAAGGAGGTAGAGGGGAAATTAACGGGAGGGAAAGAGGAGGAAGGGAAAAAGAGGAGAGAGGGAAACAAGAGGAGAGAGGGAAAAGAGGGAGGGGGAAAAGAGGGAGGAGGGAAAAGAGGAGAGGGGAAAAGAGGGAGAGGGAAAAGAGGAGAGGGGAAAGAGGGAGAGGGGAAAAGAGGGAGAGGGGAAAGAGGGAGAGGGGGAATAAGAGGCGAAGAGGGGAAAAGAGGGAGAGGGGAAAGAGGAGAGGGAAAAGAGGAGAGGGGAAAGATGAGAGGGGAAGAAGAGGGAGAGGGGAAAAAGAGGAGAGGGGAAAAGAGGAGAGGGGAAAAAGCGGAGCGGGCGGAAAGGAGTGAGAGGGGAAAGAGGAGAGGGAAAAGAGGGAGAGGGGAAAGAGGCGAGAGGGAAGAGGGAGAGGGGAAAGAGGGAGCAGGGGGAAAAGGAGAGGGGGAAGAGGGAGAGGGGAAGAGGAGAGGGTGAAAGAGGGAGAGGGTGAAAGAGGGAGAGGGGGGAAAGAGGAGAGAGGGGGGAAGAAGAGAGGGGGAAGAGGAGAGGGGGAAAGAGGAGAGGGGAAAGAGGGGAGGGGAAGAGGAGAGAGGGGAAAGAGGAGAGGGGACAAGAGGAGAGGGGGAAAGAGGAGAAAAGAGAAAAAAGTGGGGGAGGGGAAAAAGAGGGAAGGGACAAAAGAGGGAAAACGGGGGAGAGAGAAAAGATTGTTGTTCCTGGCGTTGCCAAGTACGCGGGCGAAATCGAGGTAGGAGGCAGACGGCGCGCGAACGAGATTGCCGGAAAAAGAGAGAAAGGGAACGAGGGGGGAAGAGAGATGGAAAAGCCAGAAAACCGAGATAGAGAGAGAGGAGAAGAGAGCGCAATGGTTGGCGGTTTGCTAGAGGGAACCCCAGAGAAAAAGAGGAAAAACCGAGAAGAGCAACGACGAGAGAGAGGGGGGAAGAGAAGGATTAGGGAAACGGGACAGATAAGGAACAGAGTGGGTTTAATGTCGGCAAAATATAAATGCCAAAATGAAACGAAGCATGCATTTTAATACTGTGCTCGTACTTGAGGTTGAGAAGTCAGCCCTGAAATAGACCTTACCAGTTGGTGAGACCCGAACGCTCCAAAACCTGCGGACGTGATGCTAGTTTAGTGCTGGTTCCAGTTTTCTCCAAAATTACCAAATCAAATCCAGTGCTTACTCGTAGTAATCGTTGAAGTTGCAGCGTGGCGAATGAGAAACTAGACGTACCGAATCCCGAGCTGAAACATGGACATATTCTACGATTAACCCTTTAAGGTTTCCCAAAAGGATAAAGACCAATTCTATTAATTTTCATTTTATTAATTTATGTTATAGCTCTTCATAAGAGATAATTCAGTTCCTTATTAAAACTGCCAATACTGAGAATATTACAATGAAAAATCCCCAAATTGTTACAATCCACAATGGATCCGAAATGATTCCCTAGATGCAATTTACACATCGAAAGTTTACTTCTAGATTTTCTTATAGACCCCTCGTGTTAAGTAGTCACGTTGTACTTACGATGGAGAATCTTTGGATCAAATAATAGCATCAAGTTTGCCGTGAAGTTGAAAAAGACGCCGCTTACACGCTTTCGGAGATTTCATCCTAATTGTATTAGGCAGTGTTGCCAGAATGCGATGAGACTTGGGATTCACCGCAGTTCGACCCGGAAACAAAGGCCAGCATAGGGCGAAAGGCCCACCTCACCATAATTCGGACCTCAAGAAGGTTGCACGAGCACATCCGCGCGAGCAAGTCTTGTCATTGTCTTTTTTGACACCAAACGGATAGTGCAGAGGAGTTGTACCTCCTGGACACACCGTAAACGCACGTTCTACAAACAAAAGGCTCCAGAAAACAACATGTGGCGTCGTTGAACACGAGGGCCAGAACCGTTAGGTCGTGAAAGTACGCTGTCGGGAGGAAGGGTTAGAGTCCGTGAAACATCCGGAGTTGCGCTCGGGCGGATTGACTTAGGTAGTGCCTCAGAGCCAAAAATACCGGAGGCCTGTAAAAACTCCGAGCGATGCTGCCGGCTAGCCTCGTTTACGGAAGCAGGCAGCCAACCTAAGAACCCTGTGTGTGGCCGTTAACCAAACCTGCGAGGTCCGCGCCAGCCGCGAGCCTACTATGGAACAGTGGTGGGGTGTCAAGCCTCAAACTATTTAACGCGGCGCCATTGCGCCCCGTTCTCATTCAGTTAGCATCGGGGAGTTGTACGTGTTGTGTACGAGAAGTGTAGGGAGTGTGGGCGAGGATGTCCGGAGGAGTAGAACCCAGACAATCTCACGTGCTGTAGGCACACCAGTCTGCCACGACGCGGGTGTAAATTTTCGGCGTCAGGCCATGTGACAGGTATTGGATCACGGGACCGAGGTCCGATAGCGCGCATCACGTTGGCTTGTATTTTTCTGCGTAAGCAGTGTTCTGAAGGAAAAGGTGCCGAGAGTGTTTTAATATGAGCAAATTATTGAACTTGTAAGAATATCTAGA